AAATCATCACTAGTGTTTGCTGTGGAAAACATTACAGAAATGCAGCTGTAGTACAGTGAAAGATGATGGCAGGGAAAAACTTTCCAGACTGTGAGATTAATAAAATCACCCTCAATAATTGAAGGTTAAAAAGACAGACTTTTTTTTTCACACTGTCAAAGTTTTTTTTTATCTATTAAAAGTGGTATCTTACTCAGGACACTTTGGTCAGTGCCAGGGTTAATAGGAAATATTACATTTTTTCCACATCCTCATAAATTTCAAAGCCATTCTTCACTAGTCAGTATATGGTATCAGAAGCTATGAATACATGTTGAAGAGGAGGCATTTGGTGTGAAGCTATTAAGTGATATTGCCTATTTTCAAAATAAATGAGACTGACTGAAATTATGCTTTTCTTCAGATGAGTTTGAGAGTCAGTGAAGAAAAACGCATCTGATGGAAATATAACTGAGGAATGGGACACTCATACTTTGCAAGCAGTATTTAGGAAAAAGAATACAAGAAATTATATTATCAGAACTTTATTTGTTACAAATTATCACAATCACAACTAATATAAAACAGAGAAAGCACTGAGGAAACTTGACTGTTAGATACAAGATTTATCAAGGTGTAAAAGCCTCATCCAAGACGACTACTAGAAAACCTGTGGCTGTATATTAGAGAAAACATTTCTATGCATCAAACACCAAGTGAAAGAGAACAAGCAGCGTAGTATAATTGGCGGGGATTAACACACCTTCATGTTACACAAGTTTCTGAAGGAAATGGAAGTTGGAGTATCATTTCTACCCAAGAGTCTTGTTTTGAGCAGACCTATTTACAATTAGCTATGAAGAAAAGCTTCAGCATAAAACACCAATCTTCATTTTAACTTAACCATGTTGCTCATACATTAGACAAGCTATTCCCAACAGCGTTTAAATTCCAGTCATGAGACTTCATACACTCGCTCTTACACTTGCTGCATAAGGCTAAAAAGAATGACTAAAAGGAACATGAGGCTGCATTATTGCTTTGTAAGAGGAACTTAGAAGAAAATTCTTTATTGAGCTCCGAATAAAACATGGTTGCATCACCAAACAATTAAGAGTTTAAATACACAATTATTTTAAAAAGTGTACCATATTATACACTTTAAGGCTTTAATACAAGAAATACAGAACAGGGTTTTCATACTCCGCAGCCTGTCTCGTTGCTGTCTAGGCACACGGAGAAGTACAATGCTCTAAGCAGTCCATAATTAACATGGCAGAAGTTCCTGAAAGAGAGCAAAATATAATTTATTTGTATACATCCTGAGACTAGCAACTATCAATTCTCTGAAGGCTGTCAGATTATAAGGAGTGGGATAGGCAATTACGCATATAATAAACGTATGTAGATTTATAGAAACCATTCCAGAAACTGCTATCATTGAAATTCAGCACAAATGTAATAAAAAGGTTCAATAAAGGCAAATTAATGATATGGTTATAATTATAATCATTAACATTACTTGAGTAGAAACACAGACATTAACCAGTGTCAGAACACAAAATCCTACTGGAATGGATAAACACTCCTAGGTCAGTTTGTCACGATGAAAGAAAGGCTGCCTTCCACTTTCTTTTTAATTTAGGAATCTTTTTAATTATTTTTCCCTCTTCAAAACCTAATGGATTTCTTTGCATAGATTACTCCAAAGAAAAAAAACACAAACTAGAAATGCAATAGCAGAACACAATGCTAGCACATGTTACTTCAGGAACTGTCAAGAGAAGTTTTGTACTGCAAATACATAGTTTCTAAGAATATCTAATACCAGCTGTTTGAACTGATGTAGCTTATTGTACACATATGTATAAGAGATCAATGAGAATTGATACAACTTTTTCCAAGAGGTATGAAAACACATTTTCTTAGGAGAAATAAGGTGTATCAATGCGGAGCACTGGAAGAGGAAAGACTATGGATTTAAAATTCATACCACTAGCATGCAGACTTTTTTCTTGGATGCATTAAATTTAGATCTTGCCAGTCAAAAACCCCAAATTGGACCGAAATGGTTAACTTTCCTGCCAAGGTGGGCCACAGCTACCTAACTGGAGCACCATATGGCCACAGACTACTCCATCTTCTGTCAGAAGCACATCTGGCACAAGAGCAAAACAATCACTTCTGACCATAGGATCGGTGTGCTCTTGGTCAGGAGGGAAGTTTTCTTTTACTCATGGGACCTGCAACATCCCATCACACAGTAGTGCACCCAATCAGTCTCTGACTTCCCCTGCCCCCGAAAAGGGAACCTGGAACAATTTAAGGGTTTATAGGACTTCAGGGCAGAGCAGCAAAAAAGTGGCATGCTGATAACATTCATCCTCCATGTGGAAGGTACTAAGGAAAGATGGCATAAAAGAAAAAAGTTGGATAAATATTACAGAAGGTTGAATTCCCTTCTGATTCACGTATTTGTCTACTAGCCATCCTTGCTACTAGATATTTTAGTTTCAACACATCAAGTTCCATCATATATGATTAATATAAAACTTCATATTTGCAAATGAAAACTTATGACTTAAATCACATAATATGATGGGTTACATAAGATGCAAACAGAAACAGATATGTGGCCAACTCCATTATAATTATTTTTGAAAGGTATTTATCTACTCAGTTTTCCCATAGCAGTTCTAGCAGCTGGTATCAACATTTTTGCCCTTTCAGCCCCAGAGAGCAGAAAACTTCTCTAAGCTCTCCTAACCTTAAGAGTTCTTTGCTTTAAATCTTTAAAATACTCTCAGAATTGTTCTGAAGCCATTTTGTGTGTACAACAAGTTCCTTTAGCCTGTGATGGAGTCTTAGATTTACTGTGGCATACAGAGACAGTGCAACATATGCAATATTTCAAAGTATAGAGCTCTATGTCTAAGTCATGTCAACTAAAGGCACTGAGATCATGAGGTCAGCAGGAAGAATTACCATTCCAAATAGGAAATAAAGAAAAAAGTCTTTTCTATTTAAAATATACACAATCTGAGCACAAATACAGTCAAGTTATTCCATAGAATCATAGAATGCTTTGGGTTGGAAGGGACCCCTAGAGGTCATCTAGTCCAACCCCCCTGCAGGAGCAGGGACACCGCTAACTAGATCAGGTTGCTCAGAGCCCCGTCCAACCTGGCCTTGAATGCTTCCAGGGATGGGGCCTCCACCACCTCTCTGGGCAACCCCTTCCAGTGTTTCACCACCCTCATTGTAAAGAATCTCTTCCTTATATCCAGTCTGAACCTATCCTGTTTCAGTTTAAATCCATTGCCCCTTGTCCTGTCACAGCTGGCCCTACTAAAAAGATTTTCCCCATCTTTCCTATAGGCCCCCTTTATATACTGAATTCACCAGAAACAGTAGAGCTAGCTGTTCTTCTTCCAGCTCAGTACCTGTAATCATTATATAAAGCCTTGTGTATAAAGAATTAAGGACCTGATCAAATGCTCCATTTTTTCTGATAATTTCACAGATTAGTAACAATACCTACCGAAGCATCAGAAGATTAAGGTTTTTGTTCTCTTGGCTGTCCAAGGAGGTGGGTTTCCTGACAAGAGAAAAAAATATATTTTTACTAAATTTCAAAGACTTTCAAAGAAAAACTAAAAACAATGTAAATCAAACTACAACTAACAGAAACTTAATGAGTAACAAAAAGCTTTAGGTAACATCTGTAATGTTTAAGTTACTAGAATTTATGGAAAAATAATATATTACAAACTATTGGTTATGAGGTTTTACAGTTGTTTAATAGGGAATAGTTTGTCCAAATTTAGCTAGCTAAGCTAAGGCTTTTTAGATTACTAACACAAATTAAACGTTTTAAAATGAGAATTTAGGTGTCCTTAAAGTCTTTCCTACATTCTAAAATGAAACTTTGTAAGTTGTAGTCTCCCTGTTTTTATTGGTTATATTAAGATAAATTAAGTGAGATTAAAATCTTATTTGATTTATTTACCTTTGCAAATGAAGACCGTTTTAAGGGTTACACATCCTCTGCCTCTGACGAAAGCGACCTCAATTAGTCAAGTCAGAAAGTCTTTAAAAGCTTTGTGTTTATTGCTTCCAGCACGGAGCGAGGTGGTCATTAACGTACCAAAATTCTCATAAAAATTCCAAAGTTGCACTAGTGAAAAAATGCTCAACAAGATGAAAACTAGTCACATCTTTTTCAGAAAATTCATTAGCTATTTTAAACCATTTTTAACAAAAATATTTTGATTTAATGTGGCACTCAAGCAGATCCATACCATTTGGATACTTTAAACAGCATTTATATCTACTGTGAATATAAATATACATTTAGGTTTATACCAGTTTTTAAAAATGTTGCGCAGTGTTTAATATGAGCCTTTTATGCTGATCACTGTTAAACGTATTTCTCCCTGTTTACTACTATTTATGAAGTTTTATTATAAGATAAAGCATAAAATTAATCTCACACACACTGATTTTCTTTCAAAAGTTTATTTAGTATCAAGCAAGGGTAAAACTTTGCTTAACACTACAGAACATTTCAAGACTTGAGTTACAAAATACCACATTATTTGCATTTGTAATTTGCTTCCCTTTTTACGCATGTTTGCAAAGAGGAAAAACTAGCAAATGGCTGAAAATAAAAACTAAAAACTAAATTGTTGAAAACCTTTAAAATAAAAGGTTACGCTTATGTTAAAAGAATGGACTAACATATTTAGTAAACCTATTTTTTGTTTAATACTAGTTAATCAAAGGTTATTTTTTTTGATCACCTATTTTTTTCAAATACAGTTTGGAAATAACAAAGTTCCTTGTTTTACATATCTTTATGTCCAGGTTGTTCTTTCAACAAAGTGTTTTAAGTTCAGTCCATCCATTCAGATTTTTAAGCACTTTGATTTAATAAAAAGGGATTGTTCATAGAAAAAATTACTTTGAACAGTATACAGGACTGGTGGAGATTGGATATTTCACAACATCAGACAGTACAATCAGTATCTGGCATATGGCTGGTCTCTGTAGACTCCTTTTGTTGTCCTTGCAGAAGGTGCCTTGTGTCTTGAGTTGGTCCATTCTTCTTGCCCTACAAGAAGGGAAAATATAGTTAAACCCCTTCCAGTGTTCTCAGATGCTGTACTTATTTTTTCCTTAGTTAACTGTGAATTAGGTAGGGACATTTTATTTACTGAAACCAAGGCGTGCAAAGTGAAGTCTAACACTTGAACCAAAAAATCTGGGTACCACACATCTATCTGAGCTACCCCACAACGCTGCTTCAGCACATAACAACAGGGAGTGTGACAGGCTGTATTTAGGACTCTGGCCTTCAGCTGGACCCACTTGTTGGAAACACACAGAAATGCCAGCTGTAGTAGCAGACCTACAAAAAATTATGCTAGGATGAAATGAATGGAGGATATGAATTATGCATAAGCAAATAAGCTACCCTCAGAAATAAGTTTCTTTGCATCGCTACCAACTTAATTCAAATATGCAATCCAATAGTGGAAAGCCTCAAGTATCACTACAAACACCTGAGGCTTCTAGTAATCTAGGGGCAACATCTGACTTCACTGTAAACATACAATTCCTCTAAACCGCAAGTAATAGGGAGGTAGATTATAAAAAAATTAAAATGGCAAGGGAGATTGCCTGTTTGAATTTTGACAACAAATTTGTGAAAAGCTTGTGCTATATTTAATGCTTCATAATCCTACCACATTTTAGTGGTAATTTAACAGAAAGTAGCAAAGTACTGTCTTAAACAAGAATCAGACCTACTGTGCCACACATTTACAACAAAAAAGATGACACAGGACCAAATGCAGAATATAATGAAACAGTACTTAGGTACACTTTAATCAAGTAAACAAATCTGAGTGCTGTCCTGAGAGAAAAAAAACACAAAAAAAATCAAAAAACCCGAAAAGCAAACAAACAGACCTGAACATGTGTATGTGCTTCCCTATCTTCTTGGAGAATTGCCCTGCCCTAAGCAGACAGGTGTCCAAGTGAACCCAACACAATCCAGAAACTAAAGGTTGAACCCAAATGACTAAGTATGGTAATCTAAAAATGTAGGCAAATGTAGGCATTACTTTATCTTCCTAGTCAATTAAAAAAAATAAAAAATAAAAGTCAACAGCCAAAGAACCCCTCTACTTCTTTGAACAGTAAGGTAACTTCCTCAGACAGTAGATAGCTGAAATGAGATGACAAGAATCCCGTAAGTCAAGGGTCCAATTTCACAATCTTCACAGAAGTCTCATTCTAGCTAATTTATTTTTAAAAATTTAGGTGGCTGCCTGCAGAGCCTAGGTTATATATCATACCTAGGTGGTCAGAACATATGCCTAGGAGGCAAAAGGAACAAGTTCAAACTTGGTTTAAGGCTGAAAGAATTAAACTTGTACCTCAGGCAAGTTCCACAGGAATCTGATAACAGAATAACATACATGAGAAGCAACCTCTTGCGCTTCTTCATCACACAGAAAACAAGGCTTATATTAAGCAAGGAAAAGAACCCCAGCCTAACAGTAAAGGCAGATGGCTGAGGGGTAAGAATTAAAAATATCCTAACTTTTAAGCACCACTGCAAGGAACTGTTTAAATGTAAAAAGCAGTCTTAGTCACAGTTTAAGGGGAATACTTGCTTCCTTTCAAGCAATTGGTCAAATCAGTAGGGTAAAGAGTCACCTTACTTTCTACCAGTTTTCATTTTGGTGCCATTCAGGGTACCCTCTGAATTGGTACCCAAGCTTCTCAGAGCAGGAAAAGTTCAGGTACTTCTGGGAAACTGTGTTTCCCCCCGGCCAGCACTAGGCAGCTATCAGCTCACTATGCAGTCTTATGAAATTTAGTCCAAGGCACCTAATGTTCTTGACATACTGCAAGGATGATTATCAGTATCTAACTCTGCATTTAAGGATTTCCTTAAGGGTCAGCTGGTTAAGAAATAAAGTGTATAACTACATTTGTATATGCAAGAACTTCAGTGGCTGTAACCCATAATCATTCTTCAAGGTATTTATGGTTTTCCTCTCAATTTGAGTACAGACATCACTTATTCTGAGTGGCTGTGCTTTGATAAATAGAAAACTTATCTTAAATGCAAAAGCAATGAAAAAATACATATTTTCAAACTTAAATACCACAGTCCACGTTTTTCCCACATCAGTCAACTCTATCTACATTAAGCAGTTTCATACATCTTTCCCCCCCATCAATTCTGCATTCACAAAATAGTCTTAGAAATATCAGGCTTACAGTGGCAAACAGTTTATTTTAATGCTGAAATAAAGATTTAAGCTATCTATCTACCAAGACCCATTGAAAGTGCTGGGGGACAGAGGAATTTCAAGTGACCTCTTTTGATGAACAGAATTTCCCCTTAAGCAAAATAATTAGTTTAAACAGACAACACTGAGCAAGCTTCTGTATTAGGTACATTTATCACAAAAACTTAGTTGAGGTCATGTTCAAGAAATATACCATAGAAAATTTGAAGTAGAACATTAAAATCACTGAAGCATCCATTACCCAGAATCACAACTCTTTTACACTAGTTACTAATAATCCTCAAACGCTTGAGATCTGAGTGATCTAGATTATATTTCTCTGATCTCCAGCCAGAGATTTAACATTTATCCTGTAAGCAAAGGTGCCTTTTAACATGCCTTATGCTTCTAATCCGTAACAGATCTCTTAATTAAACCTGTCACTACCACACTTCTAGCTTAAAAAAATGTGATCTTTACCACCAGCATATGTTTTTTGCTTCATTACGCATTGTTTTGTCTCCGAGTAACCCACTACCCTCAAGTCTATTAGCTACCTAAAACACTTTCATAAACTTCACATAACGATTCCCTGCTTGATTTCACAAGACTGATGCACGAAAATGAACTAATAGGAAAAGGCCATGCAAGTCCAAAATGCACTGTTAGGCCCTGATTCAGCTGAGCACTTCAGCATGTTCTTACCTCGTAACCAAGTTTCAACATCAGTTGTGCCACACTAGAAGCAATTGCTTTCAGCTGCCATTAGCTTCTGAAAAAAGGTCCTACACCCCCATTTTTTTTCCATAAATCTCTTTGAATGTGACATGAAAAGAGTACTTGCAGCATGATTTCGATTTTATTTCTTTGATTTTAGTTTCACATGACTACGTTACCTAACAGGCCACAGAAACCTCCGTCAGTGTTTTCCTCAGTAACCATGAGGAGCTCTGTGACAGTGCAAGAATCCCTGAACAGCTGTTACCCGCTGCAGAATTGAACCTTGCATTACAGAAATTCTTCTTTGATTTTTTTTTTTTCCTCCAAAGGTCTTACTACTGTAGTCATTCAGCTCAAAGCTACTCACCATAGGAGTTGTACGTTTCTTCACTCAGTCCATGGCCATAGTCATAGTAATCTGCTCCACTGTACCAGGTGAGGGAAACAGAAAGAAGAAAGAGAACAAGAAACAAAGCAGTTATATTTTAAGAAAAAATGCTTATCATTACACATTCTCCTTTGAAAAGAAGAAAGCTTGAAGGATGTAGACGTGCCCTAAGTTAGGAAAGGTAAGTATTCACATGACACAGTGACAGCTCAGGTCCCATTTGTTCATTACAAAGAGAAAATAAACCCAATTTACTTCCATTCAGGATTTTTTTCATCACTGAGCCCCCGGTCCACAGTGTTAAATGTGGATGTGGGAATTTTATGTTTATACTTATACTTAAAGATGGGAAGGTTGAAGATCCCATGAATTCCAATGAAAGAAGAGCTGGAGGTGTAGGTACTGAACTCAATTCCTTTGTCTTACAAACTTCTTTTCATTACCTACTGTTGCCTAGTATTTTGTCTTTGCATCTTTAAATTCACTGATAGAAATGCAATAAAGACGAGCAACTTGCTGATCAGAGGGTTACATAGATTCTATTTGTGTACAGGTTCCAGTGTCTTCAGAACAAGATAAATGTACACTTATGCAAATGCTATCATTTTAATAGGCAGATAAGAAACAACATGAACTTCAAAGTTAAACGCACAAATCTGCAGTCATTAGGATTCAGAAGTATTTATGAATACCATAACCATGGCCTCAACCAGTCTTCCATTTCATAATGGCATTTCTATTTATGTTAAGACCACTGAATGGAAACTGAAGGACAAGCCTTATCACATCCTACTTTTCCGTCATGCTTTCATATTTCATAAGTATAGCTATGTAGTCTTTTATATAATTGGCAGAACAAAAGTCTATTAGGCATATTTGTAGGACATCAAAAGCAAGTCTCTTAATTGTTTCTTTCCTTTTCTTTCTAACCACAGCCAGACCCAGGGCTGATGGTATTTTGAAAATACTCTACAGGCTGATGCTACCAAGTGATTATCTTCTGAGGGAGAAGGAAATCACTGTAATATATGATCAGTAGCAAGTAATTACTAATATTGACAAAATGTTTCTAACATTAGATTGATTGCTAACAAAATAAAAATTAGAGAAAAGGCAATTTATGGCCTTACCATGCATTAGCAGGTAAAGCATTTATAGAAAACAAGTAACACATCAGAAACACTTCTGAACTGACACAAGACTAAGAGCATTTGCTGTGTTTGGGCTTTTTGTGTTTTTTTTTTTTTTCCCTAAAAAGTTTTAAATACCACAAAATAATCCCAGACAGAAATAATACAGTTCTGGTGTGTGGTAAATGCATATCTAAAAAGTGCAGATGAGTATCTGTTACTGTTAGCATAAGGCTTCCTAAACAAAAATTTAATCAGAAGGCACTATGAAGATGCACAAAATCCCCCCATCCGTGCAGAACCTCAATGTTATCTATGGTTTGTCAGTGATGAGGACCCCAGAATAACAATGGCAAAGTTTGAAAGCATACGAAATAACATAATTTTGCCCTGCAGTCAGTGATAAAACAGTCTTTTTTCTGATAACCAACTTAAAATTGACATTCAACTATCCTTCCACATAGTACTTGATTTTTTTTAAGGCCGTCATCAAGCTTAGAAGCCTATAGCAGCTGAGCCCTATCCCCATATCTGTCAATCCTGTCAGAATGACTTTTGCAGGGTTTCATTTCATAGACCTAAAATATCTATTAAACAAAAAAATGACTCATTTTACAGCGTATAAACTGCAAAATGAATAAACATCAGAAAGGAAAAATCTTTTACTTACAGTGAAAGTATATCATGATCCATCAAAATTAATAATCTTTCCAAAAAGTAGAAGTTATAATGTGAAGCAATGTTGCCTAGTGCAATGCAATACCCTCTGAGCACTTCCATTTGTGCTCTGTCAATGGTGCCAACGCTCTTTCAATTCATCCGTAAGTTAAACACAGAACTTCAGATAAGACAATTTAAAGACTAAGACTCAAAGAAAAGGGTACATACAGCTGTAAGGAGATCTGGGTAAAAAAAGAATATTGACAAGATTTTTTGTTTCACTTGTAGCCGTCTGAATAGCCCATGAAGTTCACAGCCAAAAACCAAGATACCTGAGGGTTTTTGGGAAGGAATTACAGAAAAATCTAGTACTGCATAGGAAGTTATAGCTTACAGAGCTGTGTTTTCTTCAAAGCAATCACCTAACTAAAAGGGAACCTAGTCAAAGGAAGATGCAATATCAGCCTTCTCTGTAAATTGTACATTTGAACTCACTGAGATAGTGGAGGTCAGTTCTGTTGTGAGGAATTAAGTAGCTATATTCAGTAATGCTTCCTCTGGACAGAAGGTATGATGTCAACTTTGTTTTAAAAGCATCCTTAACACTTGCACTTTTTAAATGTAAGTTCTCTGGCGTCTTAGCATTCTGACTGAAGACTATTCGAACTCTGTATTTCCCTTTAATGGATTTATGCTGGAATAGAAACCCCTTTTTTCCTATTCCTTTCCTCTCATAGAAAGGAGAATAAAAACACAATACCACCACAAAACATTTTCTTTTTCACCTCCTGTGTCTCCCTACCTTCAGATCAAGGTAAAAAACATACCATGGATCCCTTCCTTTTTAACCCAGCAAGACTAAGCCTTGAGTCTGCTTTGAGTTTGTATGTTTGTCTTCTTGAGGCCATTTCCTTCAGTTTTCTTAATTTTTCCTTACTTCTCCACTTGTCTCCAAGTAATTTCTCTCTAGCTGCAGATGGGGGCAGTATATAAAAATCCTGCGGTGTCTACTTTGTAGATAATTGCATTACATGGTATAGTCAGGCAAGTTTTCAAGCATTTTCCTAAACATCAAGTAAACAGCAGAAGTACAATCAACACTGGAGTATCAGCTGTGAATCAGATCTCCTGTACCTACAGTGCCCTTGCTTATATCTACTCATATTTAACAACTTCTGCATTCCCATTCCAGCACAACATCTTTGGGCTGACAAGAGAGAAGACGGGTGGCAAAGAAAAACGTGCTTTGATTTTCCGTATCAACATAAAAATTTGGAACCACCTAATGGTATGGAAGGATTAGCAAACAACAACAAACTTGAGAAGTATGTCACTTCTAATTGCTGAGGGCTGGGCATTAATCCTACAACACTTAGAGAAAGTGTGAAATGAGGCTTAAGTAGTTTAAATAAGGCAGGGGGAAGCGCCTGTTTTCTCTGTTCAAGAAACAGTCTGAGATAGATAACAGCACCCTCAGATTTTAGCACTGCATCACTGATGAAGTAAAGCCTTAGAGGAGCTTTTTTATCTAGTAAAACAGAGGACTGGGAAGCTTCCTGCCATTTTCCTGGAACCACTGTGCTGTGAGAAGTGTCTTAAAATACTTTAGAGATATTCAGTACAAGCCTTCAAAGGTCTTGTGGAATATGACCTGAATTCCTCAGGCTTTTCTGCTAAGCTGATTGTTTCTGAAGATATCTTGATGAACCATAACAGAAGAACAAATCTTTATAAAAAAAACAAATAGCAGTAACTGCTCCTGACATGACAGTTAAGTCTTAAGGAACTCTTACCTTTTATACTATGTTACCTATTAGCTTATTCTGTCTAGCGATGTAGGAATATTCTCTTGGGACAGATATCAACAGAACAGTAGAGTTTCAACCTAACACTCAAGGATATCAGAATAGGTCATTAGGCTGTTCTTGGGACAATCCAGAATGGGCATGTCCACCACACGGTGCAAGTGCTTTATGGTATTTTTAAAAAAATGCATAAAGGTAGTAAAATCATATTGTGATTAATGAATGCGATTGCCACGGCTCTTTAGATTTAATACAGGCATCTTTTAAGACCAGCATTATGCCATTTCTGTGTTTGAAACAGAAGTAGAATGGCAGGGAGCCTGACTGCTAAGGGGAGGGTAAAAGGTCTCTGATGGAAAGCTTCTAGTTTGCTGGAAAAGCCCAGCGCTTAACACTGATGAGCCTGGTTACCAGGTTTAAGCACCGAATGAAATGAAACTTTCTTCCTCTTCAGTGATGAAAAACAACCTTTGCAACCCGTTCAGCTTCTAGTAATGCTTACTAAGAAAAAAAAAAAAATGGAAAAAATTCTGCTTTTTCTTTTGCACATTGGTATCACAGGTAACTTTGAGACTGATCCCTTTGGAAAGAAGCCAGGGCAGTTTCAGAAATGACCACAAAAACCTTGAAAAGCACCAAGTGTTCCTTTCCTGCGAAGAGTAGCTCCTCATGTGTCACCTTTGTCCTTCTACACAGAGGACACACAGAACAGCAAAGCAGAAAGGACAAGTGAGGATCTCTCTAACAAGAGGTCTTATATGATAGATCCTGACCAATACGATCACACCTGAACAGAACTTTTCCACAAGGACAAGCCTTTTTCTCATTCCTACCAGATCTTCACACTCAGCTGCTGCTTAGGTCAGAAAGCATCCATCAACAGTAAACAGGAAGAAAAGAATCCCAAATGTTCTTGTCAAGACAGCAATCACTGCAGTGAAGCTTCTCATGTCTCCATACTTGTCTTGAACACTGAGTGGACTATCTGTTCTTAATGCTTCTCTGGATCATTAGAAAACAATATTCTGTAACCCAGCTTACAGCAGGATAGCATAAAACCAGGATATCAAGAGCAGATCCACACCTTTTCTCGCATCTTGCAGATGGATTTTCATTTAATGCCCAGTTCTGCTGCTACTTAGCAGGACTTTCTTTGGTACAAACTGAGATGCAGGGATGTGAGTATAAGTCTGTAAAACAGATAATGATCTCAGAAAGCAACTGAAACCTGTATGTGAAAGCTTTATAAAATACAAAAAAAAAAGATGCAATCTTCCTTAAATTAGATCCTATTGTACTCTCATATGGATAACACAAATAGCAAATCTATTTCCTATAATCCTACAAGATGACCAGAGTGCCCTCTCAAGGATTCCCTTAGCTATCACTATTTAGAAGTATCTTTTTATGGCAGAAATTCTAATATATTTTACTTCTGTAGAA